TGAACTGCCTCACCAGCTTTCTGTCGGGCTTTGTCATCTTCACCGTGCTGGGCTACATGGCTGAGATGAGGGACGTGGAGGTGGAGGATGTTGCAAGAGATAAAGGTTCGCCTCCCTCCGGCACGACTGCCCCGTCCTGGCCCTGCGGTGCCCATCACGGTTGAGGGGGGCCGGGGTGATGGCCGGCACTGGGGTCTGCCGGGGCACAGGGGCTTGTGCCCGGGAGCGGTTCTGGCTTTGCATCTTCCCCAAGCAACTTCCTGTGCAAGAGCAGACGGGGAACAACAAACCGACCCAGTGTCCCCTCCTAGGGCCGAGCCTCCTTTTTATCACCTACCCCGAAGCAATCGCCAACATGGTGGGATCCACCTTCTTCGCCATCGTATTCTTCCTGATGATGATAACGCTGGGGCTGGACAGCACGGTAGGGAACTCCATCGAGCTCAACAGCACAGCCGTGCAGCCTAGGGCCGTGTCCCCAGTGGGGACTGGGAACGGCTGGGTCCCACGGGGAATAGTGGGGTGACAAGGGCAGCTACAGCCTCGGGAAGGGGGGGCTGCCCACCCAAGCCCTCCGAGCATGGGGACAGAGGGAGCACCGCACCATCGTCTCCAGTGGGTCCCCCAAAGCCCATCGAGGGGACGGTCACCCCGGAGGGAGGTGATAGGACGAGATGTCCCCACTCTGCTTGTGGGCAGAAGGGGCTTGCGGGGAGCAGGTTTGCTCCACGAACGGGACTGGCCCCACGATTCACTTCTCTGCCTCACACCGGCATTTCCTTTGCAGTTTGGGGGCTTGGAGGCCGTGATCACGGCCGTGATGGATGAGTACCCCCAGGTCCTGGCCGGGCGACGGGAGCTCTTTGTCCTCGGCCTCATCACAGTCTCTTTCCTGGGCTCCCTGAGCACCCTGACCTACGTGAGTACCACCGGGCACCGCTCCGCTCCCATCCCCACCACACACCTCCTCGTACCTCCAACAACCCCCGGTGGGGTCTGCAGCCGCCCTCCCTTGTGCTGTTCCAGGGGGGAGCCTACGTGGTGAAGCTGCTGGAGGAGTTTGGTGCTGGCTGCTCAATCCTGGCAGTGGTGCTGCTGGAAACGATAGCCGTCTCCTGGTTTTACGGTAAGAAACTGCCTCGGTTATGAAAAACATCCTGCAGGCACCCACACGGGTGTTTAACCTTACATCCGTGAGTAAATGCCAGGGGATTCAGGGGCAGAAGCACGTGCCTGACTCCTGGCACGGCTGGGATGGGGCACGGAGGGCATCGTGCCCACGTCCTCTGCGGGGCCCCGGGGCCATGACAGCTCTCTGCTCTGCCAGGGATACAGAGGTTCTCCCATGATGTGAAAGCCATGCTGGGCTTCACCCCGGGGATGTTCTGGAAGGTGTGCTGGGTCGCCATCAGCCCTGCCTTGTTAGCGGTGAGTATCTACGGCCCGAATTAAAGACCGGGTTGTCAGCCTCCCGCTGAATGCCCCCCCCCAGGGGAGCTGGTTGCATGAGATGAACAAGGTGCCGGGAGGGTGGAGCGGGTGTGGGACCTCATCCCGGTCCTCCCCATGCCGCTGCTCCAGCCACGGGCAACGCCAAGCCGCCCCCAGCCCCCGGGACAGGGGGTTTCACCACGAAAGGGAGCTGGAAGGACATTTCCCAGCTTCTTCTGCAGCTCCAGGGCAAAGCTGGGAGCTGGCAGCTGGGTGCTGCCACGGGTGGAAGCGCAGCCTCGTTTCGTCCCCCTGGTCCGCAGCATCCCACGGGTACGTCTCTGACGGCACTGCGGCGCTGTGCGCCGGGCTGGATCCGTCCCCTTTGAAATGCCAGCTCCTCCAGCACTTCAAAGGCTGCTGTCTGTGAGAGGCAGAGGGGTCTAATCTCCCCAGATCTGCAGGAGAAGAGGCCTTGTGAGGATTAATTACGGCTCTAAGCGCTTTGCCCTGGTTATTAAGAGAGAAGTATTATAATCAAAGGAGACAGCAAATGATTTCATTTCAGCACGGGGACGTGCAGCCTTCGAGGCCACCATCTCGGTGGGGTCTGGTAGACAAAGACCTCCCGGGCCGCACCTAGCGAGGGGTGACAGCCTGCGAAATGTCACTGCAATGTCCACGCTGGCCTTTCGGGGTTAGGAAGGCGGCGGTGGCAGCGGGACGCGGGCGTTGTGAACCTCTGGGATGAGCCGGCATCAGTGCCGGGGCTGGGGAGGGGTCGCAGCTGCTCCCCTCTCTCTGGGGAGCCAGGGGACCTGCTCGGCCAGGGATGCCCAGCTGTCGTGAAAGAGCTTTCCCGGCTGCCCGTGCCATGTGCCCGTGGGGTTTGTGGGCTGTACGGTCCTGCCACCGCCCTGAGCCTGCTTGTGACCGGCAGCGGGGCATGTCCTGCCGCAGTCCGGCCCCATGAGCATCCTTCCCTAACGCGCTCCGCTTTGTTCGTTACAGTTCATAGTTATCAGCTCCCTCCTGGACCAGCCGCCTCTGACACTCTTCGACTATCAGTACCCCGAGTGGAGCATCTCGGTGGGGTACCTCATAGGAGCATCGTCCTTCATCTGCATCCCCTTCTACTTGGTTTACAAGCTCGTCTGGACACCGGGCTCTCTCAAGCAGGTCAGGAGCAGGGTGGGCGATCCTGTGGCCCCTGTGCGGGCTGGGGGTGGGCAGGGACCCCCGCTCGGGTTAGCCCGAGCCCGAGGCTGGGGAGCTGGGCAGTTGGTTGCTGCGTCCTCAGCATCTTTGTTCATATGGCAATTAAATCGCACCTGGAGAGCTGCTTGGATAAAGGCTCAGAGGAGCACGGCTCGACGGCCTGATCATTTTAAGTCGTATTTTCTGAAGCTGCGATTCTGGCTGGGCCAGGAGGCAGCAGGGCTACATCAGCACGGCCCTGGAGGCAGGAGACCGTCCCCAGCTGCCACCCATCCACTCAGCCCATTTCTGGGATACCTCCTGCCTGCTGCGGTCTGCTGCAGGCTGAAACGGCCCCGGCCCCCCAGCACGCCAGGACC